AATGAGGCTTAAAGTGCTCAACCAAAATCCCTGCAATCTCTTCTTGATTTATTATGGTTTCTTTGTTCACTACAAGATGAGAGATTAAATTCTATATTCATCTCCATGTTCCAAAGCATGAAAGTATCTAGATTTCCATCCCTTGCCTTGATCCATCTGGATATGACTTCTGTTTCCAACAAATTTCTTCCCTTTTCAATGTTAAATCAACTCTATCTTTAGGGCTCCTCTTAGATCCTGCTCTTCCTCCATTAGAGCTATCTTTGGGTCTCCCAATTATCTACCATCTCAAATTGACCAGCAATCCATTCATTTTTCTCCTGTCCCTTTCTTCCTTGCTCGTGTTTTTAATCTTTCCTAATTTTACATAATTTCCTCATGAATGTTGGCCAATGATCTTTTGCCTATTTTCCTCATAAATGTTGCATATATGTTGAGCTTGCATCAATAGGAAAGAGAACCAAATCAATGGGCATACTAGGCTTAATTCTCAATACCAAAATCAGCACCAAGCCTTGTATTTTTAACCTTATCCTCTTCAATTTCAATCTTTTAAGCTCTATGTACAAAGAGATGTACTACAAATTGCAGCAAGAATCACAAGTATAAAAAATGTCATTTTGCATAAGCATTCTTTGGAGTTTGATCTTTTTGCGACAAAGTTTGATGTAACTTTGGCTAGAAATATATCCTAAAGGAAAATACAAACAGCATCACATTGGGATGTTGAACCAATGAAGACAATGGGTTTTGTCATTTATGTTTTGAAGTTGTCTAATGATTTGAACATCAGATCTATTTTTAATGGAAACCTTCATTCTTTTTATCATAGATAGCATGAGAGTAAGAAGTATTAAGAGTGAGACTTGAAGTTCCATATTGATATGAAGTTGCAAGAATATATCAAAGATGTTCTTGAATCAAATGATATAAACTTGCAAATAGGTTACCCCAAGGTGATATAAACCACATGTGGCAGTAGAGTCCTGATGAAGGGAGAGAAGTGTAAGGCTTGTATCATCTAGTTGGGAGTACAATGGTTTCCAAAACCTCAATAGATTGCTAGAAGTAGAGTGTACAAAGTAAAGTACTGTGGCCACATGCATGGAGTGTCTTTTTCACAATTAGAACAAAGACACATGCTACAAGTTTCTAGGGCACAGATGATGGTGAGGGTAAAAATTCTTACTGAGAGAGAGAGAGAGAGAGAGAGAGAGAGAGAGGAAGAATTGAGGTACCTCTCTGGAGTTAATTAGGATTGTTAACTTGGGTGCAACTACACAGGTGCATTAGTCACTTTGTTTGAATCAAGTGGTATCAAGACCAAGTGTTTCACGTTATGTGTAGACGGTGGCATTTCTCAAGGCTAATAGATGCTTGCAGTACTTGAAAATAGAGACACAAATGGAAGATCTTTGAGGTAGATGAGAAATAAGCCAAGGTGGTGATTGTTGGGTAAGTGTCTTATTTTTCAACTATTGAATTAGGTTGTACTCTAACAGTGGGTGTGGTCCCCCCTTTAAGTCAAGGTGGGCTCTTCAGTGATTTTAGTTCCAGAGGAACTTCAGTGATGCTGCTTTATTTATGAGTAAAATAGGTACTAAATAGATAGGTTTTGTGCTTTTATGTGATCTATATTTCAGTCCTATAGAAGCCATTACATCCTAAGATTTCTGTTCCTATTACTACAGTAGTTTCTAGTCTTTTCATCTAAAACACTGATCAACATCAAAGTAGACACAACTAAGTAAAGCCTTAATTCCAACTACGTGGGGTTAACTATGTGACTCTTATTAAGTTATTTTTCCATTCCACTCTACCAAGGACCATGCCCTTTATTAAATAATAAGTTAACAGAATGTCATGGGTTATCTTAAAAAGGGCACCTGTTTAGGCAACTAATCATAAAGCGATAATCCGAACCATGTGGGTTCTACTATGTGACTTATTTTTCCATTCCACTCTACCAAGGACTATATCCTCTATTAAATAGTAAGTTTTCAGAATGCCACGGCTTATTTAAAAAAAGCACCCATTTAGGCAACTAAGCACCTGCTTGGGTGATAAGAATCACAAGGGAAGTGCCTTGTTCTAATATTACTATTATGGTTTCATATAGGGTTGGGCTTAGGGCCAGACCCTTCTTTGGTTGAGCTTGGCCCAACCCAAGGCTCAAACCCAGAATTTGGGCTTGGACCAGCTCTAGGCCCAAACTCAGCCCAAGGTGCCCAGCCCAAACTCATATTTTCAGAGTCAGGCTGGCCCAAACTTAAACCAGATATTAGAATTATGAGAATATCTTGTCAAGGGAAAGTCATTTTGAACCACATGTGTGATCCACACCTTACCAAGAGCTGAGATTAGTCAGAGTCACATGTGTACATACCTAGATATCTAGGGCTGGGCCAAGGTCAAACCCAAACCAATCCAAACTCAACACTGTGCCTATATTTGGCCTAGGAACAACCCTAGTTTCTGTAGGCAGGGCCTTGGGCTGAATTGGGCAAGACTAATCCTAGCAGCATATGAGTGGCCAAAGACAATGGACAACTAGGCATCAAAAGGATGAAAATAGTTAACATTTCCCTTCTACAAAGATGGTTCTAGCAGTTCACTGAAGAATCAGATGGGCTGTGGAGGAAATTCATTGCTGCAAAATATGGTATTAGCAATAACCAATGGAATGTCAATGAACCCAGGCAATTGCATGGATATGCAGTTTGGAAACTGAAGAGGTATTGGAAAGGCTTTCCCACAGTTAAAGGAATTAAATATGAATGGGGTGATGGCAGTAAGATCAACTTCTGGATGGATTCTTGGTGCTCCAATTCACCCCTTGTGGAGATTTTCCCAGTATTGTTCATGACAGCACAAGACAGAAATGCTGAAGTGGCAGATTACTATGAAATATCTCATGGGGAAGTAGTGTGTCTCCCTAGATTTAGAAGGTATGTAAATGATCAGGAGGTGAAGCAAATATCAGAGTTCTTGTTCAGGCTCCAAAATCAGCAGCCGAAACTGATTTCAGGAAATGGCAATGGGAACATCCAGGGATTTTCTTTTCTCTCTCTTTCTTTAGTTGGCTGAACAGTGTGTTAAGGATTAATTTTCCTGCCAAAGCAACATGAGGACCTACTTGTAAGACAACCCAACAATCCCAATGCCTAAGTCGTTCTGCTTTGCTCCTTAGCTCAGGTGGGGTATATGGTATACTGCATCAAAGTTTATTTTATGGGTTACAGTACTGGGCAAATGTTTTGTGATGGATAACTTCAACAGAAGAGGAATGGGCCTGACAAACAATGTTCTTTGCGCCCAGATTGAGGAAAGCCCAAACCACATATTCATCCATTGGAGTTTCACAGCTAAGCTATGGTATCACTTCGTGAAAATCTTTAAATATCAATGGTATTGCTTTCTCCATGCCATTATATGGTCAGTACAGCTGGAAAAGACATTTAACATTGGGAATTGATCTTGGGATACTCTTCATGGCTTTGAGTCAAAGAATTTGCACTGAGAAAGCAGAGATGGTCATTGAATTTGCACTGGCTGGAAAGGACATTAAAACATGAATGGACAGTCACTGTTTTTTTATTGTGCATTGAAATTAGAGCAGCTGGGGGAAATGATTCTGGTTGTAGTTAGATCATAGAACTATGGACAAAGTGATGTCTTATTACCACCTAAAAATGGATCTTGTCATTCTCAATTATGATCTGGGTCAATACTGTTGAAATAGAACTGCAAACTATTGAACTCCATCTTAGTAGGGGATTCAGATGCAGAGTGTTGGTACAGTTTCCATGCTGTTGAAGTCACATAAGAGTATCAAGATACAAAGCAACAACCAACGCAGAGATGGGTTTATGTCCAAAAAGACGGAGCAAAATCAGACTGGAAATGGATATGGAGTTCTTGGGTTATTTTTACAACACAGAGGCTTCCATGGTCAATCATAACATAGTGGCTTTACTCAAGTAGTAGCTTGTTCCTACAGTAGTAAAATCCTTGTTATCTACTGTTTTCTTGACATCAAATTATGTTTTATCAAAAGAGCTCTGAAACAATGCTGCTCATCTTTCAGTGTAAAGAAATTTTTACAGCATTTGCATGTAGACCGAGTTTACTCTCTTGATGCTGTGCTTGTTTTTTCATCTTCTTCGTTCTTCTCAACATATTTGCGTGTAGACTGAGTTTCCTCTCCTTGTTGCTGTGCGTGTTTTTTCATTTCATCCTCTTTGTTATTCCACCAAAATAAATAAATGAAAGATTAAAAAATGATCTTGTTTAGAGAGTGCGAGAATCACACCCAACTAAAAAAATCCTCTTCCAAGTCCAACCTCCTCTGAGTGAAGAGAAATGGTTCTTCAAGCCTCTGAGTTGTAGTTCCTCTCTCTCTCTCTCTCTCTCTCACACACACACACACAATTGTCAATTTTTTAGTAGCTATCTGTTATTATTAACCTTGGTGGAGTAGCTTTTTTCACGGAAGATGTTTAAGTATTTCTTTTAAGTGGCCATGTGTTACAGTTGACCTTCGGTAGAGTTGAACTTTTGTTCATGGTGGGATGCTTATTACTCGCAGAACGCAGAGAACTAAAAATAAGGAGCACGTTCTCAAAATTGAGAATAAATATGTAAAGTAGATCTTACTTCACATTGCCCCAAAACGTTGCCTTTGAATTTTCATATGAAGTGAACCACTCCACTATCCTGCCATCCTGCTTTGAAGTCAGACATCTCTTCTTTATCATTTTTTTGGGGTTAGTTATTCGATTACCAGAACCCAAACCAAATAGTTTTTCTTCTTGTTCCTTTTTATTTCTGTTTCTCATTCTGCATAACCTGCTTGAAAGTCAGATTGAATGGTGCATCAGAGAGAGAGAGGCTTTACACCGACAGTTCTTAAAAAATGGGACTACTAAACCCCATATTCCTATCTACATCTCTCTTTCACATCTAAAACTACTTTTCTTTTCATGAAATAAATCTTCATATACATATTATATCCTATCTCCATCTTCACCCACCTGACGCATACAGACAACAAATGAACTCAAAAAAGAAATAAAATAATAAAAATCACTATCATAATAACCCCCTTTATTCCTGATGGAGTGAATGAGAGTAGAGGGGGATGTTCTCAGAAACTAAAATTCTAAATACAGAGCAAAAAAAAGAATGGAGAAAAACGAGACCCAACTGACTGGAGACAAGCCCAAAGCACACAGACGACCCAAACACTAGAACACATTGGCTTGATACGATATACAATATTGATTTGCTAGAAAAGCTCCCAATTGAACTTGGGAGGAGGATTCTGACTGGTAGTGGTGGTGGTGGTGGTGGTGGTGGATGTTGAAGGAACTGGCACCAAATCAAATGTCTCCCATTGGGTCGTCACCACCACTGGTCCTGCTGCCGAAAGCCTTGCAGGCTGTGGCTTCTGCTGTTGCTGCTGAACTGGTGAAATTTGACCCAGTAAATCCCATTCCCTTTGCGGCTGCTGCTTTTCCTGCTGTATCATTGATAGCATTTGTCCAGTTGAATGCTTTTGCTGCTGTTGTTGTTGCAATGTTGACATTTGTCCAGTTGAATGTCTTTGCTGTTGCTGTATTGGCATTTGAGCACCATTGGCATTGGGCATTGCATTCCGGATCTTCAGCAAGTCAAGGGTCTCTACGTACTTCTGCACTCTCCTCACCTTCATGACCAAAGGGTGGAAATTGAGATTCTAGTTAGGCTAATTAACAAACTAATAGTAGTATGCAGCAGCTATATGCAACAGTAACAATTCACAAAATGGGGTTTGATTGGCAATGAGAAAAATACCTGCATTCTCCTCTGCAATTTCACATCTCCATCGGCAATAATTCCATCCAACTTAAGCAATTGATTCATCAACAGCTCAATCAGATTCAGCACTTCCGTCTCTGCAACCTTCCCACCTCTAGAGATTAATGATTCAATAGCCGAGACCTGCCCAATTACGGTTAAAAGAACACGTTAAATTCCCCCTACTGGACGTAAAATAAGTCTCAAGTTAGAAGGGGAGGGCGTATGGGTTTTCAGCTTACAGTTTTTCACTGCAAATTGAGCAATACCTGACCAGCGAGCTTGTCGACTTCCAAGCTGATTTCTGAGATTGATTTTGCTGCCTTCTCCATCTTGGCATTCTTGCGCATCTCAAGATACCGTCTTTCTTGGCTAGTTGGGTCCTCGACCAGAACAATTTTCGATCGGTCCTTCACTCCCACAATATCTAGGTAAGCTTTTGAGTCCCTCTCCTTGTCTTTGAAGAAAAGCTTTTGGTCCTGAGGATGCAATCCAGTCGGTGCCGCCAACAGCTTTTTCAACTCACCTGCAAACCATTAGAAGCTACTTGTATTAACATTGCACATTTCTGCTTCTTCCTTTCATTTCATCAAAATCGAGTTGTTTCCTTGAAGGGCAGAAAAAGGAATAGAAATAGAAGAGTGAAAGAGCAAGAAATTGTAATTACCGAATGAGGCTTGAGAATTGATATAGATTTCATGGTAATTGGAGCCGTGCTTAACCCTAACTCTGATGGTATGAGCAGGGATTGCACCCCCATCGGAATCCGGGTTCCTCTTCTGAACCAGCATTCCCCCTGGTCTGAGTTCCCAATCTGCAACCTCCGACCCACCTACTCCGTTCCCCGTGATTCCATTCACCGGCGACATTCCGGTGGTCTTCGTCCTCATTCGCATCATCTCGACCAATTTTTTTTCCTTTTGTTTTTTCCTTCTTTCCTGAGCCAAAGTGGAATGAGATTATTCTGTTCCTGTTTTACAAAATGTCAAAAACTCCAAATTTTCTTCCTCTGGATTTCTTTATGTCTTTCCTTTCTTCTTTCGTCTATTTCTCCTGGTGGGTCAGAGGAAACCCGAGAGAGAAGAAAGAACCTGAGACTCAGATCTCTTGAAAGTCCGCTTCGCAACAATCTCTAGTGGAATCAAAGAAAAACATTTCTGACCCACCAAGTCAGAAGACGAACTAGTGATGTAAACGTCTGAACCAAGCATCACAAACCAGAAAATCACTCGAAAACTGCAAGGAACTCCGATTCTTCTTATTGCCCAGCAGGAAACAAATCAAATCCTCTCCATGCTCCAGCCTGCCCTCCTCCACCTTCTCTTCAATATCGACCAATTATTCGTCTCGGAAAAGAAGGCAGACAGCAACTTAAAATCGAGTGAGCCTCTTCCAACTGGTTACCAATCGCAGAAGCCCGAAAACAATGATTACACCTCCTGCTCCCAATCCCAAGTATATCTCCTCATCAATGTCCAAAGCCCGAGCTAAATCGAAGAAATAAATGATAAAAATGATAGAAATCTAATCGAACTCGAAAGAATAAACTTATATAAAAAAACCCAACAACGAAACACCTAAAAAAGTAAAAACCCTCTCCTTTCTTATAAACGAAGAGGAGTAGACCAGAAAAAATGAAAGGCCAGCGAATCAATCGAAACTGCGACGAGAGAAAGAATTTATAAATTTTAAATATTAAATATTAAATAAATCATTAATTAAGGGAAAAAAGGAAGGTAGAAGCGTAGAAGACATCAGCAAAAGCCGCCAACTCCTCTGTTTAAAAGTAAAGGACGAATTGCAAAATAAAAAGGGAAAATATATAAAATAAAGATTAAAAACAGAGATGGCTAATTGCTAATGGCTTTTTTTTTAGCTTTTATCCTCCCAAAATATCAGTAATAAATACAGAAATTGAACACAGAAATCTCACCAAACTCTCTTTTTATCTTCAGATTTGTCTCTCTCATCTCTCTCTCTCTCTCTCTCTCGCTGGCCGGAACCTTCCACAACCCAAAACCAGTGGCGCATCGCAATCGACCCACCGCACGCTTCAATCAATCCCTACCACAATCCAGTCGACGCGTGTGAAATCCCTAATTTCTCTATTTAATCAACTGTAAGCATAGGAAAGATAAATATGAAAAATGATTAATAAATTTAATTTTTAATTTTTAATTTTTTTTCTAGTAATACCAGATGAAATATGAAAACAGAGAAAAGTACGAAAATAATAATAAGTGTCCCTTGGTTTGGTTGACTGATCTGAAGTTGGACTTTTCTGTAAAATTACTATTGTGTCCCCAACCCACAATGATTTGATTACCTTTGCTTTAAACAGCGCCATTTCTTTCAGTGGTGTTAATGTAATTTAATGTGTTCAATTCGGGTGGTAAATGGGGGGGGACAAGTTTGTCATTGCTAAGAAGAATAAGCCCAATTGTGGGAATGAAAAATAATGAAGACACGTCAACCTCTCGCCTTTCTTTCTCTATTTCTCTCTCAAGGCAACCCAGCAAATTGGAATCGCTGACGTCAAGATTCCTTTTGTGAGACACGTGGCAAACGACTATTCCATTAAAGACATGGTACTGTGACCGGGGTCCCCCGTCTCCTCCCTCTTTGTCTTGCTTTCGACTCTCCGTCTCTCTCTCTGCTTTGCCTAGCACGCCACCGACACTCAAAAGGGTAGACCAGATCGGGTCGGATTAAATGACACGTGGCAAAGTCTTGGTCGTCCATCGCAATTCCGGCACGTGGTTTCGAGCGATTGTGATTGTAAATATATATACGTCGTCCGAAAGAGATGGTGTAACACACTTGACACCCTCACGCGCGCGTATATCAGAACAAATGCTTAAGAACGAAGGTCGGTTGTTGGATTGGTCAGTGTGGAGTGCGGTCTGTCCAAAAGTATAATTCTAATTTAATTAATTAAAATAAAAAACAGTTATAAACTTTAATTCTTTTTTCTCTAATTTCTTGTTTTAAAATTATGGAGAAGAAGGGGGGTTGGTGGCTTTTGGTGTTCCGTCGTAATTCGTATTTGATGGGGGACAATGCACCCACCTTTTCTTTAATTAATTAATTAACTAAAATCTATAATAATGAAGATGCGATTTGGTTTGTTAGAGAGTTAATTTTGACTTGTGACTCAATCGGAGGGTGGTTTGATCAATAATGGTGAATTGGTGATCATTGATCGAGATGTGTGTAGTATTTGTTGCGCACACGTGGCCTTCTGATAACTACTCGTCCTACTTCCTGTTGTCTTAGTTTTACACGTGGCGTCCAGATGGATGAGTCATGTAGAGAGGACATTCAAGCAAAAGTGGGCCACCCTCGGTTTCTTCTTCAAAGGGGTGGCTGCTGATTGGAATCTGGAGGATCTATCATCTATCGTCTAATGTTTGGGAGCAGAGTGCAAATCAGCTAATCATCTGGGGAAGTACAGAACAGGTGTCTGGCGTCTGGAGATTGACATTTAAGTGTCCAGAAAAAAACATTAAGCGAGACTGCAGAGAGAACAATAATGGCCAGCATTGCCTACACTTTTACTCGTAATACAGGGCCAATCAAAACCCGCCACGTCAGTTCGTTACATGTGGGTCCCGCCCGCTGCAACTTGATAAAAAAAAAAAAAAAAAGTTAAGACTAGTTTAGCAGCTACTAAAATGTAATATGGGTGGATTGAGATTGGATTGGATAGAAGACCAACTTACCTACTGCTACCAGCCACTCACTCCATTAAATGGGCTCAATTTGTGTTCTACACATATAGATGCCTAGACGGCCAACTTGCAATTGCAATCCAATCAGTGGAGAGTGAGAAAGGGTATATCAGGCACGTGCATGTGCACGTGAAGAGAGCGAATGAAGTGTGGGGCAATGGTGACCAGAGAAAGAAGATTGGGTAGAGAGAATGTCAGAATTTGGTGGGATTTGTAATGGGTACCCACCACCCAACCCAACTCACCCCCACTTAAGCTTGACAAAAGGGTTGTCAACTCGTATACAACCCACCAAGCACTTGGGTTGGTTTGGTTGGATTTTAAGTGGTTGCATTGGGTTGGGCTGGTTTAGATGGGTTGGGTAAAAAATTGAAACCCCTTATGACTGCCATATGGAAATTGTTTCTTCTTGATCCTCATGGTTAACATAGAAGCTAATGCTAGCAACGGCTGCGAACGGATCAAATCGAATTAGGACATGAAGTATTGAGGTAGATTCGTTTATATTTGGATTCAAATCGGATTTGGGTTGTAATTGAATAGCATAGATAATTTAAACTAGAAATAATCAAAATAATATATATTATTAATAAAATGCACTGAAAATTATTTTGATATTGTATATCATGAACAAAATATATTGAAAATAAATTTTATGAAACTTTTTAACCAAGGACTAAAACACAATCATATACGTATCTATACATTTAAATACACATGGATACACCAATATAAAGACTTTTTAAATATTGGGCGAGACCCTCTACTACCTATAAAATTTTTAAAAAGTAAAAAAGCAAAACTCGGGGGTATCACCAGTACCTACTTAATGGTATTAAGCGTATCAATATTTTAATCCTTGTTTTTGAACCAATGACTTTAATAAAAACACAACATTATAGGGGTTGGTCCATAGAGATGGCAACGAGCCGAGTTTTTCACGAGTTGCTCGAGCCCAATTCACTGGCTTGATTATTAAACGAGCCGACTAGAGCTTGGCTTGTGATGCTTGTGAGTCGGCTCGAATATATATATATAATTCTTAATTTTTAAATATCAAATAAAAAATATTTTTATAAAATATTTTTTCTCAAAATCAAACTCAAGCTTATAAATTTTTTACTCAAGCCGAACTCGAATTCAACGTTCTGGCTCAAACCGAGTTCGAGCTCGAGCCTCGTACTATTCAGCTCGGCTCGGCTCAAATCCACTCCTATATTCAATCCAATTATAAACAGATACCATTTTTGCAGCCCTAATGTGAGCAGGTAGTTTACCATCTCACGCCATTACAGATGACACGTAGGAACCCACAAAAATTGTCTTTTTTAGGTATTGTTGTATCATTTCGCCTCTGATCAAAAACAAAACCTTGCCCAGATGCAAATGGTCGCATGTAAAAGCAAGGATAAGAAAGGAATCCCCGAGGACTGAGACCCTGTTTGGTTGCAGTTGCAGATGAAGTGAAGGAAAATGAATGACTTTCACTTTCAGAAAATACGTTATTCTCTAACCTCTTATTTATTGCACATAGGAAACAAACATCTTCCATAAAGTGATTGATAGTTACCTGAAAATGGCATTCCTTGATATTTTCTATCAGCCATTTTCCAAACAGATGGTTGGCCTAATTAGCTCAAATCTAGTGAAACCCATATGTTTCTTCACAATTCAGGTTTCTTTCCAAGTTAAACCATTTGCAGGAAAATTAGAAAGATTATCTATTTCTATCGAATATAATTTTGGGGGGAATCATTCCTTCTCCTACGTTTTAGATGCAACCAAAAGCAGCCTGATATCAATTAGCAAAAGGGCCATTTTCCTGATTTCCTTTGGTGCTTCCTTTAACTTGGAATTAGTCCTAAATTGTAGAAGCATACGGATGATACGGGACTCACATTAAGAGGACTGATCCACTTCTCAGAAAGTGATTTATAGAACACACCAAAAGGAATGTCATTCTCCTATAACCACTAATTTTTCAAAAAAAAAAAACATTTGCGTTCAGTAGAAATTGTTTGCTTTCCTCCATTTCCCCCCAACAAGTTTCAATGTAGGATGCATTTGGTTGCACATAAACAAAGGAAAGGAAACAATTTTCCTTGGGAAATGATGTTCATTGGAAAAAATGAATCACTTTCTAAAGCTTCCTGATGCTTTAATATAGCTTGGAAAAGACACATCGATGGTTGGTAGATATATAGTGTGTCAAGACACTTAGATCAAGACAGCTGACCCTCTTTTTAGAAATGTGTTAAAGAAAGTTAGAAGGAAATCTTGTTTTTATACATCACCGCCATCATCATCTAAGGGTTGTGTCTGGCACCATTGTTTGCCTGTTTGATGTTTCTACTTGAAACGTTTTGGGTTCATCAATACATTTGATGTTCAAGGTGAAAACAGCAATTTATATTTTTCAACTCGGTAGAAAAAATATTTCTAACCAATTTATATTGATCAACCCAAAATGTTTCACGTAGAAACCCAAATCTCGTTTTTGTATATCTGAAGTGCATAACCGTTCGTTTCCCATAGACAACTACAGCAGCCACTGTTAAATAGTTTTTTTCATGGAAATGAGGAAATCATTTATTTTCATTCATTTTATGTGCAACCAAATGAAACACTATTAAGTCAAAAACGTCTATAACCTTACAGGGTTGTTATTTTAGACCCCAGACGATCAAGCCCTACGGAGGAGCATTTTGGTTCTGGCAACACAAGAAACAGATAGCTACAGGCTACAGCATCTGCATAAATTGCCACCAATTACAAGTTTCACGGTTTACCAAATGCCAACAACTCACTGGTTTCCATCTGAAACGTCGTGTACAACAATCTGCACAAGCACACAACCAAATGATTTTTTTGAACCATGTAAATTGAGCATTATCTATGGTGTTTGTTCCTTACACTAACCTGTTTCTTCCATGTAGAGAAAGGGTAGAAAGCAGAGTTTTCATCATAAACAAGGACTATAACATAATTGAGATATTTTCTATTTCCAAAAATGTCTCCTCCTTGCTAGGGATGCAAGATGGGCCGGGTTTGATGAGGTTGAGCTCAGCCCTAGCCCGACCCAAGGTGTTGAACACCCAGCCAACCCAATCCAAAGATGATATATAAGGTTGGGTTTATGAAACCAAAAAATCCTGGCCTTTAAAACTAAAAATGGTTGGTAGATAAGCCAAATTACTCGGTACTACCACGGCTTCACTTCAGTCCAAGGGAGGTTAGTCTGATGGCTTGCTTATTACTCCTCTTCAGAATGTTAAAATAGCTATAACCCAATCCCTCTGATATGACCTGTGAGCTTCAGAGGTATTCTACCAAACAAGATATAACAGAATTGCAGTACATTATGCCAGGCCTAATCTTGGCCATTAGGAACAATTTCAAATTCTCTCTGGATCTTGTCAAGAAGATTCTCTTGTTCAATGTGTCTCAATTAGAGTCCTCTCTTTCATTTCCTTTGGCAGAAATTGATACATAGGTTGGATAAGTTTTTATTGGGACTCAAGTGTTCCTCCAGCTCATGTATTCAACATAAGAAGTGGAGAAGAAACTCATGCCTGTTTGCCACAGGCTTTGTTGATAGCATATTGCTGCAAGCCAACAAATTTAACCTGTTATGGGAACTATGTTTATTATCCTACAGAAAATTCCACAGTGGACAAAGATAAGTGAGGAGGATGAAGCTCAAAAATTGTTCACTTTAACTTTTTAATGGTCAAACTGCAGTTACATGTACTTCTGAGAAAATATGCGACCTGTTGGGATTAAATTGAAAAACCCAACATGAAGAATCACTTTGCAGAAACTAAAGCAATTTACAGTGGCAAGGTAACGAAATAGCGTTGCAGTTCTTAAAAGCACTAAACATAATTCTAGTAACTTGAAGAAGTTAAAAATTTGTTCTAAATTATGCATTCAAAAGCTTTTAGAGGGTTCTTGCCATATCATAATTGTATGCATGATGTTGCTGCCCAAATTTGCATATTCAGGAAAGAAGAGATCCTATAGCCATATCCCAACTCCAAATCACATCATCCAACCTATTATTTCCCCATATTACAGCAACTTTTTTTTTCCAAAAACTCGAAGTCTTGGAACTTTAATCTTAATTTTCTACATAATTAAATATCAATCTAACCCTCATGCCAGAGGGCTAGTCAATGAATTGGTGCATCTAAGAGTGAAAACAACCATTCAGTTTGAAAATTCAAAAGTTATTTTGTGGCTTTAAATAATCAAGGACATAAACTGCCTTTTTCTGGAATCAGGTGGAAGGAAAAGGACAACTCTTTCACAGCTATCACACTGAATCCAAAAAAAAACAAAAAGAAGGCCCACAATAAAAGGGGCATTTCTTCTTAAGCCATTGGAATACCTAGAACAATTACAACAGAATAAAGGTGAGTAAATTCATTACAAATCTATACATGCACTGCCTCTAAATTTGTTCGCAACAGCTCCTATCCAGTCCCTGTCTCTGTTGTTGTATGCATAACTCATGCTGGAAGCCAATAGAATGAAACCTTGTATTGTTTTTTCTGTTCCATTGCCACCTAATTTACAAGCTCTTAGCACAGGTTGGACCAAAAAAGAACGAATTCCCTTGGGGAGCATCTCCCAAACCCCAGAATCTGAAGAAAAAAAAAATCTCATTATGTTAGTTGATACTATTAATAGAAAATAAAACCTAGCAGTTCAAGTAAAAAATATAGAAACATCGCTACTACAAATCAGCAGAGAATGAAGTCGCTAATACCAGATCATAGAGGATTTTGTTGCTATTAAATGGACACTCCAACAGGAAATTGGTAAATCATGGAATCTCAATTAAAATTATATGGCTAAGGGTCTAACCGGGTTTCCTAAACCTTCTCTAGTTCCAAACATCTCATGCCATATGCAACTTAGACATTTTGTACCAGTGTCAGGCGTAGATAGAAGTTAACAAAAATGATTATCCTCTTCTTTCAAGGACAAATTACCAAGCAAACTGGGGAGCACTAAGACTCTAAGTGTCCTAAATTATCTGCATCCCAAAGTAAATGGCAAGAACTGGCTGTTACTCAAAAAATTTCGATGACTAATGAATGAACCATGACTGATCTTCCAGTAAGTATAATTGAATCTTTTCAACAGACAAACATTGATCAACTGCAAAGAATGAACCATCTCTGAGCTTCTAGAAAGTATTGAATACTACATTCCTTACCTTTTATTCTTTTTCCTTTTTCCTTTTTCCTTTTTCCTTTTTCCTTTTTCCTTTTTCCTTTTTCCTTTTTCCTTTTTCCTTTTTAATCAATTCAAGTGAAATTAACACCCCTTAGACCTAGAGCATTCTAAGACAACATAGCACACTGCACACCTCCATTGTTTGATCATTTTAGCTTGATTTGTTCATCCTGTTCTATTGTGCGGCATAATCTGTGTTACCCGGATACAGCAAGGACACAGCTAGATATGGTATTAGGTACAAAATTTACACTAAAAATTTTAAGTATCTAACATGATAGAGCATCCTTATACAGGTATCTGGGTATAATAGGTTTATATGCATCAAGGTAGAGAATCCCCTACCACCCCACTGAAGAATTAACAAAATTTGTTTTATGGCCAATAGAAACAGATATATGGAATAGAAAATGAGACCAGTCCAATAGAGGTATTGTTACCCATATTGGAGAATTGAAACAAGAAACTTCATGGTTTACCTGGTCTCTGAGGGAAATAAAGTGTATCCTTCAGATCAGAAAGACCAATTTGCTGAACCTGTCTTCCAAACCAATCAAGCATGTGGGTTTTTGTTGCATCCTCAGGTGTACTCCAATAGCCACGTATACACAGCACATCCCCAACTGATATAAGCTGGTGAAAGTGAAAAGCAGTAAAAATTGTTAAGTGTTATGTTTCAAACATAATTACTAATTAGAAGCTTAATAGTAAGATTTTTAATGCTTGAAACTCAAACCACAGTAGCTCCATGTTAATTTGGACCTTTAAGTTTGCATTTGGTTCCTTGTCATAATAAGTGAGAAGGGGATGTCCAAAGGACTTCCCTACAACTTCCCCCTAAAACCATGGAGAGCCCAAAATATCATGGAGGACCATCTCTTACTCAAAATATACTGAAATACATGTATGTATATATCATCCTTTTCCTTGTCTCAAGAAGACCTTCAAATTAAGAAATCGCCCAAAAAAGAGCAAGTAATATGCCCTAGAATTCGAGGCACAAATTCCACCATCCAACCAGTTTGCAAATAGTGCATCTCTATATTACTTTCCACATATTCAATTTTATTAAGTACAAGAAGAGTATGGCATAGTACCACTGATATGGTGTTTGTATTTCGCAACAAAACATATGTTCCCCAAGCCAAATCCTCCTTCATGGTATCAGAGAGATTTTCTGACATTATAAATATTTGCTTGTTCCCCTCAGGCAGAGTAGATTGATCCACAAGATTTGCACCCTGCATAACTTTCCATACTGTGAGGCAGGCACTGCAAGTTCAAAGCTCCTCAAATTACAGAGATGTTAGGCACAATGAGCTCTACAGACCACATGGAGAAGTCCTGGTAAACCAAGGAATTATTTAGTTCAGCATTTAATGATCAGATTTATCACTTTTTTAGGCTAGTACCAGTAGTGGAAGTTATTGAGTGCCGTTTCTCTTTGTACTGCATTAGGATGCAATTATTTTCTAAGACAATGTTAGAATAAATTAATGATCTTTCTACTCCAAAGATATTACACTTATCAATAATAGGTAATAGTAATACAAAAACTGATTTGCATACTAAAAAGCACCATTAAATCATGAAGCACCAATGTGACATAAATGGTGCAAAAAAAAAGCAAAGCAAAATATGTTAATATACTAGAAAGAGATCAAAATCCAGAACTAGCTCCTAATAAGCAGGAAAAACAACCGTAAATTTGTTACCATATCTTTTCCTTTTATTTTGATAAATAAGTGAAATGTTCAGCAAAAAATACAAAGAGGATATTCTAAAAAGTAGCCCCACGTGATTAAATATAGTCCATCTTTTTGTATTTGCAAGATGAATTGATGTAAAATTGATGCTCGTTAGAGATATGATACAGAAATGCATAAAACAAAGCCCCAGTTGATGAAATTGCCAGGACTTAACATCTCATTTTATGTCAACTCTATGGAAGAGTAAAGACACAGCAGGTTCCACATAAAAAAAAAGGTCATTACTCAATGTTGATACTGGCTATCCAGGGTTCAATCCCAGTCATAGTGAACTTCAATAAAATTCAGAAATAACTTCATCAAGTAAGGAACAATTCTACAATGAATTTTATGCCCGGATAAGATGCAACCTCGGCTGAATTTTTGAATTTATGAATGATTGATAATGTTAACATCCAGCCTTTGACTGGAGGGGGGAGCTCCAGCCTTTGCATCATAAAGGCAGTGAATGAGTACATCCAATTTCTCTTCTTAATCATTCAAAAGCATTTGGCTCTTGAATGCCTTGGAGGTCGGTTGCCGTTCACCTATTCCAGCCACAGGAGAACCGTCTAACAAGAACCCATTGAGGTCTAGATTAACCCTTACAATTTCCCGGAAAAAAAAAATCTTCGAAATGGTCTGAAGGAACCAAAAGCTTTTTCCCTTTCCATTTTTCTTATCCAATTTTTGACGAAACTTTGCAGCGGTTCATGAAATTGCTTTACAACGTAAAAGAAAAAAAAAATAGAGCACTCAGAGTTACCTTGAGAAATTTTCCAAGGTAGGGAAGAGTAATTGAGAAAGCCGACAACGAAAGACCCAGAACCTCTGATCGCTGCGCAACAAAACAATCAATAAAACCCGACAATAACTTCAAAAGTTTTAGTAGAGACGGCAATCAGGGAATTTTTTTTCCACCCACTTACAAGCTGTGCTGGAGTAGTGGATGAATTCGAACCGACGAAGTGGTTCAAGAGCAGCAGCGAACCGAAAGCGTATCCAATCCATCTGGGTAAGTAAGATTCGTCCAATCCAGGAATACCTAAACCCCCGCATTTTCCACCACCCACACATAAAGAAGAGATAAATAAATGGATAAATAATAAACGGGAGAGAGAGCTCTATTAAGTATTAACCAAACGTAAAGCGAAGAACCGAGAGGTTGAGCTGCTGCTGTTGCTGTTTTGATTCTCCAGAATTGTCGACACGAGCTGAAACTCTTGTGTTTCTCCTTCTTCTTAGTCTGTTACGAATACCGGCAATAATCCCGGAAAAGCAAGAAGGGCGTCGCGACGTAAAAAGATAAGAGGAATGCCGTTTATCGGCCTGAAATCGAAGCTGCAATCTGAACTCAACTATAGTATTAATCGATAAACTTCCCATTTCCTTCAAACTGATTGATAGACACCGTTGAATTGCAGCTCACAAGCCCAAGGGCCAAGCCTATGTTTGGTTTGATGGAAAATAAGTGAATAGAAAGTTGAGGGAAAGATATAAAAATTTTGTAAAAAATAAAATACTTAGGCGATTTTTGAGAGTGTTTAAAAATAAATGCTTATTTAGGTCATTAAGAATAAGTGTTTATTTTAAAAATAAGATTTTATTTTTCAAACGCAAATTTCCAGCTTTTTTTAAGTGCTTATACAATAAGCATTTTTTCAACTTTTTTCTTTTAAAACTATCCCTAGTTGAATTTTAAAATACCACTTGTAGAATTATCTCTAATTGAATTTTATAAAAGTACTTTTACAAAAAAACACTAATGAAAGTACTCTTATAAAAGCATTTTTATGAAAGCACTTTATAAAAGTACTATAAAAGTGTTTTCATAAAAGTGTTTTTACAAAAATGCTTTTATAAGAGTAATTTAATAAAAGTGCTTTCAAAGAGTATATTTTGAAATTTTGAAAAACAAAATGAAGAACAAAATGATCACAAATACTTATTTAGTGTTTATTAGAAAAAATAACTACCAAACACCCGATTACAAAATAAGTGCTTATTTTCTAAATAAGTACTTAAAAAAATTGAGTATCAAATGCAAACAAATGTTTATTTAAATAAACACTTATTTTTAACTTAAACACTTCCAAACAAGACCTTCATTTCCCCTCAACTTTCTCACTTTCTGTTTCTCTAATTAAGAGCGGTAAAGAGGGCTAACCCGACCATTATAGCAAGAGCGGCACAGCACGAAAAATGGATCATGCCAGCACGGTACAGTCCGCATACTGGCTCAGTACAAACCACATATATTAATAAATTATTTATATAAATACGTAGAATAATAATAATAATATATTAATATACATGCATCTATATGTATATAAATTTGTATTTTCATTTTTGTTATATTTTTTATTTCATTTTTATTGTATTTTTTTATTTCTTGTTTATCTTGTTACTTTATGTTAACCTTTTTATTATTTTTCTAAAAAGAATCATGCCACCTGCAGCCTGGCTGGCAGACGGACCTGCCTGGGCTAAGTCCCACGAGCGGTGCTGGGCGGGTTCGGCTTCAATCAAAGCGTTAATGGCCGTTCGGACATTATAAGAGGATGACACGCGTCAAAAAGCGCGTGTGCATTCCTCATTCGTGCGGGGATGATAAACGGGCGTTTAACATGAACGCCGTTCGTCATCCCCGCGTCTCTCCATTTTCCACCTAGACCTCTCGTTCTGTTATCCTCTCCAACCGGCGAAGGAGGCATAAGGCATCACCGGCGAAGTCAAGCTTCTTCCGGCGACCGGCGATCGGCGACAATCCTAGAAATAGGTCCAACTATAACAAACATGGCTTATCTATTGATGGATGGGAAGAGAGGGAACTGATCAGCCGAGACGGTCTGGCAAAGCTCAAAGCCAGTGTCTTCTTTGCTACCATCGACCATCAAACGGAGGTGCCCTTCCAACAAAGGATGAATTCGACACTCTAATAACAGAAGGTTCCTCTGAGTGGCGGAATCTCTGTGAAAACGAGGACTACATGCAACGCTTCCCTGACAAGCACTTCGATCTCGAGATTGTACTAGAAGCAGACCTTAAGCCTCTTTCAGTCATGCCAGACAGATCTTTCATAGGGTTCTTCAGTCCCGAGAAGTTTGAGTCCTTTGAAGGGACATATATCCTTCGATGGTATATGGGACATGATAAGCGGTAGCATCAACGATGGTGAGCATCAGGTTTATATGGTCAGCTGGAATGATCATTTCTTCATTTTGAAGATTGAATCCAATGCCTGTTATAAAAATGATACTTTGGGAGAACGACTGTTCGAGGGGTGCAGCCAGGCCTACACAACAATGTACTTACTACAGTCGAGAAGTCAGAAGATGAGAAGAATTGTTTTTAACTTTTAACCAAAACAGCAAGAATAGAAAGTAAAGAACTTCATATTACAACAGAGGAAGAAAACCTGAACTCCAATAATGGGGTCGCTGTAAATCTGATCATGAAATTGAAATTCCAAAATCTAAATGAGGGAATTACCCTGCTCTCTCCACTTCCTATAGCGTAAACTGTAAAGCTTAGTTTATGGCCATTGACCAACTGAATGAGGTCCAATGAAATCGTTTTTCTCTTTTTAAGCCTATTTGTTCTTGGAATGCAGCTGCCAAGTTTTTCTGGTAAGATATCTGAAACCCATCAAAGAGGCCAATGACCGCTCGATCCGGTGGCACCCACCAAGTGAAAGCTGTCTATCCTCACTGCCCTTCTGGAACCGGTTGCTGTTAGCACCTGAATCCCTGAATCATCCATAGCCCTAAAAATGAAAACGATCGGTCAAGATCAGAATTGCTTTTCCTCTTAACTATGATTTGTTGAATTTGGCTTTACGGTGGTAGAATTCAATTTTTATTTTCCTTTCTGAAAAAACCTTAATCCGATCATATAAATACTTCTTGGCTGAATCAATCAATTGCTTCCAAAAGTTAAAGTGAAGGTAAAAAAGATGATTCCAGAACACCCCATTAACCCCCTTAAATCGAAGATAATGATGAACTACTGCTACAGTACCCACCTACCACCAGTTCCAGCTTAGAAAGGAAATGCGACCGATTCTCGTTTAGTCATTTTGCCGAGAAGATGATAAATGGGCAGACAGACCACTTGGAGCGGGACGAGGAGCACCGACAAAAGCGAGACGGACGGACTGAGAAATAAAGATGACAGTCGACGACTCCAGTGCTCGAGGGCCGCTATTTATTGAGGAAGGCAGCCAGAGGCAGAGTCTGACTCTGACTCGCCGGAAGAATCTTGCCTTCGCCGGTGATGTCTTTTGCCTCCTTCGCCGGTTGGAGAGGATAGCAAAACGAATGGCTAACGGCGTTCATGTTAAACGCATGTTTATCATCCCGCACTGACGAGGAATGCACATGCGATTATGGACGTGTCTCATCAGTTGAAATCGTGCTTCCTTTTTATGGGGTTCCGGGATCTGATGATGCATGATAGGATGTGCGTGTGAGGCGCCAGGTGTGCCGATTTCCTGTATTATATCTATATTCAGAGGGATGTTAATTGTTAAGTGACCATTTCAGCTAGTCAGTACTTTTTGCCTGATGGAACTGGTTTGTAGTGTCGTAGAGAAAAAATTCTGTAACCTAACCTAAATGGCTTAAGTGGATGAAAGGAATGACTTTCTTGTCTTTTAGTGGTTAAAATGGTAATTCATTCAGTATATATACCTAAGAATGCAGTTGACCATGTTATCTTATTTATTTCCTCCCCATATTTTTCCCCAGCCTTCTTAAAATTATTTGTTTGTATTTTTAATTAAAAAATGAAAAAAAAAAATCGAAATTTGAACATAGGGTTATTTAAACCCACCCACAACACCAGCTTATGCATAGCACGCGTCTCTTCTAATATTATAATTAATTAGGAAAATGGTAATGAACCCAAAATAAGCAATTATTGATTCCCACATATGCTCTCTTGAGGAATCACTTATTTTATATTATTGGACCCCCTCACCACCACCACCATAAAATTCTTCAAAGTTATCTCCCTCACTTCTGAGAACTACCCTCTAAACATGAAAATTAAGAAAAAACCATTTCTTCTACCCATTTTTTTGCTCGTTACGTTGGTGATTCAAACTCAAAATATCGATCCTCTACATATACAAAAATCGCGTATCCAGAGTTTTCAATGATTCACGAAGAGATAGAATGGGCATTAATGTTTAAACCTATTAAAAGGCCCTAGCTGTCAGTATTTAGCATTTTGGTGTCTATAAAAATCATACATATATCATAATATATTAGGCTGCATCTGGCATTCCATATCTCCTTTTTACAGTTAAAATACCTCTATGAACACTGAATTTTTAAATGTAAAAAGGAGGTAGGAATGCCAAATGCAGCCTAGAACCATGCTCATCACAAATCATGATTCATGAGCAGATACCCTCTTTTTAACCAAAAGAAGGCAAATATTCATTATTGTTTTTTTAACAATAATCACCAAATCAATCGATTGCAAGTGAAACTGATGATAACTAACGAGAAGCCGCTGCATGAAAGCCCTCAAAAACTTGGACTGACCTCCTAAGAAGGGTCATCATTTCGTCAACTTATCTGACTGATGTTATCTATCAATTGGGTTGGGAGAGGTGAGCCATGAATGCAAACACTGCAGGAAGAGTCCACCATATTCTCATCGATGCACTTCAGTGCCAATCTAAAGCGCCTGTTCACCAACCAGTTTCATTCATCATGGATTACAGTAAAACATGCACAGAAACGAAAGCCGAAGAGATTTGAAGTCCTGACTAAAAATTTTGAAGTGATATTGCATGTTGACTTGACTTCTTAAATTAAGAAAAAAAATGTTACAGTACCATCAAAATGGGTGCCTTTTTTTTGGGTGGGGGGAGGGGGGTTCAATTGTTGGGCTAGAGACGGGGTGGATCTATGGTTCTATATAACTTCTTCCAAACTGTTGAGAAGTGCATCAAAACGCGTTCACCACCTCATTGCTCTTTCCGAGCTTTAGACCTGACAGGCTTCGGTTTGAAGATGTAACCCAGGAGTATCAACGCAATGGGAACAATTGTGCCAACATAGTAAACGCTCCCGTAGGAAGCGAGTGTCTCGTGCATGCTCAACACCTTGTTAATGCCGGTAGTAAAAGTTAGAAACCAAACAACCAAAAATAATAGGTCTGATTCTGAAAGATAAGGATTCAAAATAAATGGAGGTGAAACAGATATGAACTAACCATGAAACCCACGCAGGAATAGTTCAAAACCAGTAGTGTATAAGCAAAGTTCATAAATCCCAAGATCTTCCCAACGAGACCCATGTTCTCGGGAATAGCTTGTTGCCATCTGTATATGACTGCTCAAGGACAGAGACAAAGTATTCAAGAAATGCTAGACAGCGTTACACAAATAAAAAGATGAAATTAGAAGAATACCTCGTGAGCCTGCTATCATCAATGCTGATTGAACAAAAAATATGATGTATCCAGGATATAGTCCCTGTAATTTGTTGAGAACAGAAAAAAGGTCAAAGTTGGTTGCAGCAGTCATACATAAAGACAAAAATAGGCGTGTCACTTGGATGTACTTTCCCTATGATCACTAGTAATTAAATCAGTCTATTAGCTGGAGACAAAATTTTGCACACTGGGCTGGAAAACCTATCACGAGTGAACACGTCAGTGTTCCTTAACATAGGACCCCACACCCTTATGTGTACTGAGTACTGACATGTTCACTTGTGATAGGTAGCCCAGAGCAGTGTGTAAGATTTTGTATCCAACCAATCCGGTCCCAGTTAAATGGTGTAAACGAATATTCATATGAGAGATAATAGGAATTGGGACGACTTTTGTACTCTTTTAGCACTCGTCCACGTTCTTTTTTACAGTATTAGCACTTATCCAAGTTAAGCAAGAAAAAATAGGCAAGGCAGTAAGAGAAGCACTCCCGGGCAAAGTAACAAAGATGGACATGGGTTGTTTGCCAAAGATGAAACCATTCACGGAATTTTTAAAACATTTTAGGAAAATACAACTGGAAATAATTGACAAAAACTTATTTTCGTTTTTCTATGGTTATTTGACAAAAAAAATTCTTAACACTAACTTTTCCTTGCTATTTTTCTTTTAGATGTCAGATTTTCAACCTCAAGCTCATGGTTGAAAAGCAACAAATAAGAGCCTAGCACAGCCTACAAATTCGAAAATCATCTGTAAGTATAGTTCATGAAGTCTCCATCTGTATCATAACGAGAATAGCCTATCAATAATAGCAGCAGTCTTCTACAGATTTTGCAAAACTAACTTCCATGAAATAGAAATTAGAGAATAACAAGTTCATGATAAAAAAAATCAAAATTACAACTTCACAAGAGTTAAGGTATAACCATACTTACATGCCAAACAGCACTAACGGTCTGCGTAGCCAACAATTGAAAGAAACCAGGTTTCTTTCCCTTCTGAATGAGTCTTTCATAAACATCTGAAGTAACATAAAGAAAATATCAAAACCAAATGTAGCAAAAAAGGCCAAAAAGGAAGATTATAACTAGATTCCACTGGCTGCCCTATGTCTTGAATTGCATGTACATGTTTATGAGTGTAATTATTTGAAAGAAAAAAGTGAAACCAATATACAGCACATTATTAGCAACAAGAAAAAACCAAAACAAAAAAATCAAAAACCTTACCACAATGCAGACAAGTGCTTGGTGCTGGAACCAGACGAACTAGACATCATAACAAATTGGCAGAGAACATCTGTATAGGAAAATATAGGATATATACTAGATATTTACATTGTGTATATACCAATCATTTGGTGCCTACATGTGCATGCTCGCCTAGGTTAGGAACGATACATTGCTTAAGCACATGCTTTTTTCTATTGGAAACGGTAACTTCATTAATACAACTTAAAAATAACTTTCCAGAGTTCAGTACAGCTGTCAACCCCTAACAGGTGTTGAGCCCCCAGTAATCTTTCTTACAAAACTGCCCAGAACATTCTCTCCCTCACAGTCCTTTGTTTAGCCAACATGTCAGCTTAAGCACATGCTTTGACCTATACAGTCTAATCATTGCATGATTGCAATATCTTGAGGTTACTTTCCTAGACATCCAAGAGGACCAAGACATTAATACATTTTAAACAAACCACCAGCTGTAAGTTTATAACCTAACTAAAATTGGGCAACTTGCTGAACAATCATGGCTCACAATATTGGCAATATTGGCAAAAAAATCCCCATTTTGCTAGGTTTCTGATATTTTGCCTATATGTCAGCAATAATTCAAATTTCATTGATAGATTATATATTTAAGGTTTAAAACTTTAGAATATTATTAAATAAACTTTTTGATGTTTCATTGGCAATATGGTAACTCTTTCAATTGGAACCTAACTTGTAGGAGGCGCCTCTTTGACTGGAAAATTGAAGAGTATGCAATTTTGCTGGGCCTGCTCCAGAACCAAAGGATTGACCCAAACATGGAGGATGCTTAGAGATGGAAATGGGAAGCTGATGCCATGTTTTTTGTTAAGTCTATGTTCAGTAAGTTGATAAGTTCAGGTCAGGAAAACTTTACGGCTAGGCAGATTTGGAGCTCATTCGGTCCTTCTAAAGTGAAGTTTTTGCTCTGCACAAAATGGCTTTAAATAAATGTCTATCCAAAGTTAATCTAGTGAAACGTGGCATTCGGATTTCGGATATGTCCTGTGGCTTATGTGGTGGGGTAGTAGAAACTACTGAATATCTGGCCTTACATTGCCCAGTCTCGAATTATATTTGGAGGCATTTTCTCCAAGCTTTGGAAATCAGCTGGGTAATGCCAATTTCTGTGAAGGATCTGCTGTTGTGTTGGCAGATTGAGGGTCTCAGCAAGAAAGGTATCTTGGTTTGGAAGACTATCCCRGCTGCTGTGCTTTGGACTATCTGGATTGAAAGAAATAACAGAATTTTTCAAGGCAAAGCTAAATCTTCAGAGGAAATGGTGCAGATAGTTGTGGGTAAACTTCTGTCCTGGGTGTCGGCATCGGAGTTGTTTAAAAATCAGAATTTGAGCCTGTTGTTTAGATCTCAGAACTGGTTGTACCTGTAATTTGTGGTGGCTCTAGGCAGCCTCTAATGGCCTAGGCTCCTTTGTACTGGTTCTTATTTTAATAAATTACCTTACCTTTTCAAAAAATATATATATATAATTTTAAAAAAAAAAGCCCTAAAAGAATCATAGAGAATTGGTGATTGGATAGTTGGCTTTACTATTTTAATATTATTAACTTACCAAGTGACTACAGTTCAAACGAAAAAGTAAAATGCATAAGACTACAAAAGAGTATTTTCAAACTAATCAAAACATATAGTAATATAAAAAGAAAAAAAAAGGTCAAAATCACAAGGAACTGACATATTTAATGAAGAGAATATGGCTAAAAGACTAAAAGGGAGACAAGGAGAAAGATACCTATTAAAGTGTCTCAATTTTCTCTTATTTGATTTAAACAGTTCTTCGCTACGGGTTTTAAGCCTTAAATGTGCAATCATATTTATTCTAATGATTCCTTGGAGGTTTATTAACTATTTCCATGCTTCAAGAAATCTTTTCTGATATTTTAGATTTTCCAAATATCTAAGCAAATTTAGTGAAATATCTCCAATATCTACATGGCGAAGTGCCCATAGATATCAAAGTTGTGAACCACGATTGGGATGTTGTCAACTTGTCATTCTGGTATCAGAATAACCCCATACCATTTAACTTGACATTCACAAGCAATAGTTCTAGTTGGAAGAGAAGTAGGAGAAACTTACAATGACGTAACCAAGTACTGACTTGGATGTTCCACACAAGTGGAATCTGAACAGCACTTTTTGCCAACTCAACACGAATAATATCAACATTTTTTGCACGGTCCCAACGTGGCTTTGGTGGAGAAGAATCTGACCAACCACTGAATCCAAGACCAGATATAATTATGGAAGCCTCTGATATTGACCAGATAAAATAATACTTCCAACGTGCAGTAAACCCACACATATACTGGTAACTCAACCGTTTCCAGAATCCCCATTCTTGATATATGGGATCAGTAAATCGGGAAAGTGGAAAATGCGGCACTAGATATAGATACAATGCCATGCATATAGCAGCTTGAAGTAGAGCTTTGATTGTTGCACCATAAGGGGATGGTGAAGGTCCTTTTGCAGATTGGCTCCAAATCTGTGCAAGCAGAGGGTTGAATGGTTCATATTTTATCAGTTTCAAGTAAAGAAAGTAACAAATGAGAAATGAAAGCAAGATCCTAAACCTACCCCTTTATTTTCTGTCCATTCAAGATAATCCTTCATTTCATAAACTGGTCCAGCAAAGTGACTCCCACAGCAAAGGCAGTAACCAAAGTACTCTATTAGAGAAGGTAAGCGTAGCAATCTGTTTTTCTTTTGTGCCTCACGCAAACCCTCTTCTTTCAATAGTCCATCATTGTAATTAATTGCACAGGAAATGACTTTCAGCGTGAGCACCATCAAGGCTCCTATTTTTTAGAAAAGGTTAAAGTAGTAATTAATAATTAAACAAAATAAACAATATGAAAGATTAAAAACCTTCACCAAAAGTTACATGCATTAGATTCAGAACTCCCTTTTTCCTTCTTTTATTCAAGAGTCAAGACTTTCTTGTAGAAGATTAAAAGTAAGATATCACAAAACTACCAAAGCATAAATTTGATCTGAAGCTTGGTAATGAAAATGGACATTCAAACTTTTTAAATGAAAAAAATGCTAAATAGCCAAGGGTAATTAGGAAATAAGACAATAACTCCATGTGATTTTTAATAACAAGACTAGTTAATGATTATAGGCTGATTTTCTTGAACTATTACTTCTTTGGCATCTCATCAGTTGTTGCATTCTACTGTGAAGTGAGCTACAAGTTATTTTGTTGGTTGGAGAAAAAATGTAGTTAAGATAGCTAGATAATGCCTAGGCATTTTGGTCTGGCAAAGCAAGTGCAAGTCAATGCCTAGGCAACAAAAATTATATAAATACATATATGTTTCACTTATTTTTATGTAACAATGCATAAGTATTATGTAATTACATGTTAATTCTAAGCTGTTGAAGCACAAATTAAATCAACAAATGATCAAATGACAACTTGCAAATGATTTTTGGGAAAAAGTGAAAAGATTTTTGAGCAACTCCCCTAGTTCAAAGAAGTGGTCACCTTTCTTATAATTTCTTTTTTTTTATAAATTTTATTTTAGTTTCAGAAAAAAAAAWTAATAGATTAAGAGTCTTATTCTTTAGCTTTACTATATACACCTATCAAGCTAAAAAAGATTATAAACACTAGCAACAATGTATAAAGGGGTCAGATGGTTAAAAGAGCCATAGACTGCAGCCTCTATAGATAGGGGTGCAAATGGATCGGATCATGATCTGATCCGATCCAATTTGGTTGAATTCAGGTCACCCCTGTTCAGATCTTTGGGTTGGATTCAGATCCCCCCATCCAATCCGATATATGTTATAGATTTATCATTTATTTATATAAATATATAATACATATATATGTTATTTATTTATTTATAAATATATTATTTATATTGTATTTTTGTAAATTTGTTATATTATTTATTTTTTTATAAAAAACATGTACATATGATGAAAATAATTAAAAAATACTTGTATTTTTTGTTTTTCTTATTTTAAATTGGTATATTTTATTTTTCTTTTAATAATTTATTAAATTTTTAAAGAAAACAAATCGGATCAGATCAGAGTTCCCAATCAGATTCAAATACAGATCCATGCCTATCAGATTCTATCGGATCGGATCAGACCCGTCATGAACAGTGTTGGACCGGATTCGGATATACCCTTATTTGAATCCGATCCGATCCGTTAACATCAAATATATCAGTCACAGATCAGTGGGAAGGAAGATCGGCAAATGGGTTGGCAGATTCTTTAGCCAAACAAGAGGTACATAGGAATCAGCTTTTTAGGGCTAAGTTGTAAGCTTTATGATATAGTTTAGAGGCGGCACCTCATGCCTCTTTGTGGGGTTTTGTAATATGTATCCTTGTGATCTTTAATAAATTTACTATTATCTATAAAAAAAAAAAAAAACAATGTATAAAGGGGTCGTAGTTAGCAATTTGCCCCCATTATGATGTTCATATCTGCATCACCTGCCTAGTTGGTTGCCTAGGTGATTGGCCTCCCAATGTATAAAGGGGTTGTAGTTAGCAATCTACCCCCATTACTATTATCTATCCAAAAAACAATCCCTCTAGGCAGGATCCCAGTACTATGAACCCATGTTGACCCTATTTCTGGCTAATGAATCCATAAGTGAATTGGCAGACGTCAGAGTCCACCTAAATACAGAGATCAATCTAGAAGTTGGCATCCTTGCCTCCATGATGGGGTAGAGATGCATCCAAGGATATGATATCTCCTCCTTCATCCATCTTTTTTTTGGTATAACCACTTGAGAGTCCCTTTAAATTTCCAATGTTGTGAATTGTAATCAGGAATCAACCCTTGGAGTAAAGATAACAATTCAGTCTGCACTGAAGCTCATTTCTCCAAGTGGTACCAAATGGTTGCCTTCATGATCTCTAAACACCCTACCTAAACTTGAAGATTTGAGGCTTGCCAATACTGCAACATCAAAATAGAGTTTAATGACATTTGGCTGAGGGTGTAACCATGATAGCAATTTAAAATTCTTCTAGTAGAAAAAGTCATTATCAATACATATTTTTGCCCCAGGTCCAGGTGTTTAAAAATATTTAAATCCTTGGATGTAAATTACACAGCCATAAAAAAATCTTCGATGTAGATTACTAAACCTCACTTCTGACTTTCTAAGAAACAACAGAAACCTGATTCATCAATAAATAAATAAACAGAAACCTCACATGAACTGCTTAAAACGCCCTCAAAATAATTTCCACAATGAGGGGCAAAACTCAAAAAGGGACAATTTAGCCTTTGGCTGCCCATGAAAAATGTATTTTATATGGCCAAGTTTTCCAAAATATGAGCACACGGACCCTAAAAATTTGATTAGGACTCATATATAGACACATCAACCTATTAGAAACCTCTTTGCTGAAAATCAAGGATTAATTCAACAATTTGATTACTAAAGTAAGATGTGCCTATCTGAGCTCCAGGATGGCCATTTCTTAAAGAAAAAGGGAAAAGAGCTTGGGAATGATTCTAACCTCAAGATTTCTATGAAGAATCATCAAAATTTGAAAACAAGTCACCATCGTGCAGGAATTAACAAGAACTTAAAATAGCTCACAAGCTAGCATGCCATTGTAACAAGTATGGCTAAAATGGGATATGTGGAGTCATGTCCAGCCCATGCAGTTGATGTACACACTCATTTTACACAAACTAATAAAGTATAACAGTTACCAATCAAAAAATAACAAGAAATTAAAAATATATATCCAACAAACTAATATGACATTTCTTAGACTTAGGGATGTCAGTGGGTCAAGTTAAGTGGTAAACCTGCACTTTGCAGAGGGGGGAAGAGTGGTAAACCTACACTGATCCAACCTAATAAGGTTAGGGTCAGGCCAGCCTTGATCAGGTTTCTGGCTGGGTTCAGATTGAGATGGACCCATGCTAAACCTGACCCATTGCCATTGCAGCATTGAAAATATTCATATTTATGTACCATATATGGGATGGGTTAAATAGTTTCTCTCTATTTGGTCAGGTCTAATCAAGTTCAGATTGGAGTTCCATTGGGTGTTGAAATCCCTACTTAAGACTTCCATTGTTTTCTCCACGAAATAGGATGTGAGGAGGTAATCTATTACGAGCCATTTGTCCCACATTGGTAGTATGGGATGTTGCTGTGGGGTATATATGTGCTTGGGTTCCCTCCCTCTAACAGCTAGCGTTTAGGGGTGAGTTCTCTGAAGGCACGTAACAAATGGTATCAAAGCCTACACTATGCCTCCCAGTTGCAATCGTGCGGCACAGGTGGTGATGTCGGTACTGTAGTGTTCGGCCGGGACTAGGTGGACTAGTGCAAAGCCAACCTGTGTGGGCACCAGGACTGCGGAGCGTGGTGGAATGTTACGATCCATTTGTCCCACATGGTGTATGGGATGCTAATGTAAGATATCCCACATCAGTAGTAATGGGATGTTGTTGGGAGGTATATATGTGTCTTGGTTCCCTCCCTCTAACAGCTAGCTTTTAGGGGTGAGTTCTCCTAAGGCACGTAACATAATCAAATCCCTCCATGTACCCCACCATCTATCTAGATGCTCCACAGTGAATTTTTTCAAGGTGGGCCGATGCATGCGCAGATAGGCCTAAGGATGGCATTCCCTCACGTTTGATGTGTTTAGCCACAGGGGGAGGAGAGTGTTGGATTCCACGTCCAACACTCAATTTGTAAGATATCTTTTAGGTCAATTCAGGTTCAAGGTCAATAAACTAAAATTATGTGCAATAAAGGGCATGGAAGTTGGTGAAATTTCTTCTTTTATTGCTAATTAGTTTTTTCGAGGTGAGGAACATCATGATGGGCCAGATTATTAGAGTGGCTCATCACACTATTAGACTAAACTTTCATAGATGCTCTTTGGGCCAGATTATTAGAGTGGCTCATCAAAGGCATGCTTATGAATCCCGACAGGGAATATACTACATGTCTACTATAGACCAGTTGAACAGAGTGATTTTATTCGGGGTCGGTTATTCTTTGTTGGGAGGATTGTGATTAAGATGCCCTTGGCTGTGCTCAGGTGGAGGTAGAAGGAGATTCACAGGTGGTGGTTGGATGGAGAAGAGGATGCATGGGTGTAGCATCACTGTACAAGAGAGGTTAGATCAGTGGCAACTAGGGGGAATCTCATTCCATGGGTTAGATCCATCAATGGTTTAGCTGACCCTAGGATCAAGAGTGAGGTAAAGTAGAAGTGAGTTTATTGGGGCTCTATCCTACCAAATTAGCCTTTCTTTCTTTCTTTATTTTCTGGTGTATGGAGAGGTTGGCACCTGACCTAGCCTTTCGGTTTTTCTTTCCTATCTCAATTCAACTCAAAAAATCCTCATCCCAACTATATGGGGTTTGGATAGATAAATAGATAATAACCATATGGAGCTGGCTACATGAACTTATTCCACCATCCTGCTCTATTTAGCACCTAGCCTTCTGGTTTTTCTTTCCTATCTCAATTCAACTTAAAAAATCCTTGTCCAAACTATATGGGGTTTGGATAGATAAATAGATAGTAACCATATGGGGCTGGCTACATGAACTTATTCCACCATCCTGCTCTATTTAGCACCATATCTATCGTTAAGTTATTGGTCTTTTTCTCTTTTCTATCCCTTTTCTTTATTTTTAGTTCAACTTTTCTTTTCTTTTCTATTCAGCAATAAAATAATCATGAACATCTACCAATCAAAAAATAAAACCAATTAGACAAAGCAAGTAACTTGTTTAAGTAATAATAAAAAAAAACATTGGACCTTCTGAAATAGGAAATACTAGCCTACTAGGTATGCATGAGATCTGAATTAATGTTTACCAGTAGCATCAATGCCTCCTTCCTTCCATGCATCCCCACTCATGTAGTACACATGGCTAAACAAAGTCACAAACATGATATTTAGTCAGAAATTTGGCTGTTTTTTCTCTTTTATCTTCTTCAAAATAGGCAGATTATTGTTTATCCCTTAGCAGAAAGTGAAGAACAGATTTCAAAAATAGAAAATGAAGTAATGGAAGCAAGATAACTGACAAGATGGTAAACAATATATAAGCACAATTCATAACCTATAGTTTAATTCAGTGGATTTAGACAATTCAAAATTCGGAAACGGTAGTCTACCTGTTTCCATCATTGGCATGGGCTGGCTATCATCAAGAGTAGACAGTCCTTGGGCTATTAGACATTTGCTACCCCCATCAAGTGGATACCAAGCCCAAGATCTGCTAACAACCTTGCTGACTTTCTTGGTAGGATAGGGGTCCCTAAAGGAGAACTAGAGGAGGCTTCCAGGGCCAGCCAGAAAGGGTCTAATGATGTCAACCTTTTTAGATAATAGGCTATGAGTTGGAAGTATATCTCATGACAACTATGGAATCTTTTTTTTTTTATTTTGATCAGCAACGCAGAAAAGATTTCATTAATTAGAAAAAATCATGGATACAACAAGAAGTTGTGAAAGAAACCAGCTTTAGTAAGCTGACCCAAAACAAATTTACAATTGAGCTCAAAACAGATGTGTTCTTTGTACCCCTTGCTTAGCTAAGCTATCTGTCAAGCTGTTAGCAGATCTCCTCACCCATCTCACACGGATTGATATGTCCCTTGATTTCCATTTTATCACAGGATCCTTCAATTTCCATTTTATCACAGTTTTCCAATCTCCCTCAATGATCAGTATATTAATACCCAACTCTTTAGCCTTCTCAACCTCATATGCTGCAGCTAGAAACTCTGACCTTGCCACATCACCCTATTCCACAGGACCAGAGTACAGAGCAATGACGTTTCCATCTTCATCTCTAATGCCCCCCCCAAACCCAGATTACCCACATAACTCCCATCAAAGTTCAGCTTCTTCCAGCCCTCTATTGGAGACCATACCTCTGCTGTCTTGTAGATGAAGAGGCTGCAATAACACCCCAAACGCTGAAAAGGTCTTCAACCTTAAAATCTGAAAACTGCTTCAAGCTTTTTGCCCAATGTGCCACACTCAAAAGTTATTGTTTCAACCAAGGCTTCCTTACTTTTTCTTTTTCTTCAAATATTCTTGCATTTCTTTCCTCCCAAATAGCAAAAAAGGTGTGGAGTCTTACTTCCACACCTTTTTTACTTCATAAAATGCATCTAAGGTGAAAACAAAGTTGTAAAGGTTATTATTCTAGAACCAACTCAGCTCAACTAAACCTTATCTTTCACACTATCAATCTAGAACTACTATGAAAAGATTTAGAAGAATCAACTATTTAATAAATACAGTATCCCTGTGCGTCTTCCCTAATTCAGTGACTTCTTCTTATGGGGGTCATCCATTCCTACTAGCATTGTAATACATAAGAGTTAAAGATAAATGTAAGGGATTGAATCTAATAAATCTCATGTGAAAATTGGACAGACTTTTTTATTTATATCACTGTTTGCTTCCTATTTGTCTTTAACAAAGAAAGTTTAAGCCACTGGTCAAGAAAGATGTATAAGCAAGTTTATAATGCCCAACCATGATACCAAGATATTTGGCTATACTTTGCATACTGGTGCAAGACATGATATGTATCCAATACAACACTACATACTTAATGGACACTTTAGAGTCTTCATAGCATCAATACTATTAGAGCATATAAATGGTACATTGTAACAATCATTCTAAAAAAAACTCTACATGGTAGAATTTAATTGAACTTGGCAAGCTATAAGTACTGAAAAAAATGGCACTTAGCTTCAAAGATAGATACAAGGTTCAAAGTATCGACACAGGCAAATACGCCAATAGGGCATATTGGCCTGTATCGGTACTTTTTTTTAACCTTTATCTTTTTTTTTTCAAAACCAGTTCAGAGGAGTCGGTTTAAGGCCCGACTACCCTCTGAAACATGGTCTGACCCGATACAACCCCTGGAGGGGCATATTGGGAAGCCATCGGCACGATACGGATTGGCCGATACGGGCCGATATGTGTCGATACTTTGAACCTTGGATAGATACACCTTGAATGGGATAAACATGCTTGTATATTATCCAAAACTTGGATCTTAGGAAAAGGTCTCATTTCCACATTTACCATATCCATGTCTGTGTTGGTAATTTGGTATCCACATCTAGGCATCATAGGTGCTTAGGTTTTTCTTTTTTTATCAGTAACAAGAAACTTTATTAATGATGTGAAACTTTGTGAACTTTAATTACAACAAGAGGGGGGAGGTAAAATGTCTTAACTCCCCACCAACAGAGTACATTGGAGAAAAGTTAAAAATTAGCCCAAAATATAGATTCCCTATTCACCCCTTGCTTGGCTAACCCATCAGCAACTGAGTTAGCAGTCCTTTTAACCCAGCTGTATTGCATTGCCATATCCCTACTCAGCCATCTGAATTTTTTCCTCTCGTTGTTATACCTCCACAAGCCACTGTCTTCTTCTTTTAGCCATCTAATCACCACCTCCGAGTCACCTTCAAGGACCAAACATCTGATGTTCATATCTTTCACTCTTTGGATACCTTCCAGGGCTGCAAGAATCTCAGCCCTAAGAGAGTCTCCTTCTCCAATTGGGCCTGAGAACATGGCAATAATAACCCCATCCTCATTCCTAAACACTCCCCCAATCCCAGAAGGCCCTGGATTCCTTAAGCAACTACTATCAAAATTCAGTTTTATGAACCCAGAGGGAGGAGGAGTCCAAGAAAGGCTATCTCTTTCCAATTTCTTACCAAATCAGCCACAGAATAGCCTGAGAACAGCTCCATAGGTACTTAGGTTCTTAGATAATATCTCCTAAACATGGACAGACTCGCATTTTCCTAAGAGGAGAGTTTTCTTTATGATAGAGGTAACTTGGCATCTTGCTTTAAGATATGTTATTCGTTGAAGCTAAAGAATTCTTTAACCAATCAGCCTTAGCAATTAGATGCATTGTCTGGCTCCTCTATGCCATAGCAACCGCTTAGTCCTTGCAAGTAAATAGGAGTATGATGGGAATGTCCCTGAGATCTGATAGTCTGATCCCAAATCGGAAATCTGATCAGATCAAGCCAGATTTGGACCTCAAATATCAGATATATTTATAATAAGATAGAATCTGGACCCAACCCAATCATAACCAACTACAGTCCAGATCTGACCCTGTTATATATAATAGTTATATTGTTACTAAATGATCATAGTTTCAAGTTTCATGGAAAGTTGTTTGACTTATTTCACTAATGATGCTTATATATAACACCAAAGTCATTTCTAGTTTTTTGTATTAATGATATATAATATTCTGGTTTTTTAGTTTAATTTAATAATGACATAATATCAGAATGCAGTCCCTGTTTGATCTGAATCTGTTGGGTAAGATTTGTTTTGGATCAGAAAAGTAGTATAATTGAAATCAGATTTAGGTACATTTTTATTGATTTTCAGATTTAGGCATATTTGATCTGAGTTTAACCTGTTTACGCCGTAGTATGGAGGGTATAACTTCAAGCATAGGAGGGAAATGTTCAACGTAATATTTGTAGAACATATGCAGTTTTCCTTCTTTCATACCCTTTTTGCTGGAGAAATTGCAATTTCCAGGTGTGATCAGAACAAAAAAAAAAGAAATACAGAGTGCCATTTAGACATGTAGAACAAGGGTCCATATAAGTAATTTTTATTGGTTCCATGCACAAAATTTTGCTAAGACAGAACTCTTGGTCATAATCTAAAGATTTCATAGTTAAATAAAACATGAACACAAGTTATTTATTTAATCTTGGTAAAATTATATAAAACATTATATTATCTCAAGTTGGCAAGTGTGAGAATGTGGGTTTGAGTCCGAGGGTAGCCACTTTATCCAAAAAAAATGCCAAAGGTTACCATACCCTACTGACCGCACTGAAATTTGGGTTTTGGAAGTTATAAACCTGTAGATGAATGAAGAAAATAGATTATTTTCTTGTGGTGTTTTCTATTTTTCTGGGGTGGAGGTGGTCACAGTTCAAAGTATCATTCTTTTGATCAAAGTTTGTGTATTGAGAGTTTCAACCAACCAAAACTCCTTTTTTTTACTTTTTGGTTCTCACATTTTGTCAGGGATAGTGTCACGTCACAATGTATCATTTAAAACACTTCAACAACAATGATAAGCATCATAGAATACGCAACAACACATTTCATATTTTGAAGCTTGGAGGTAGTTACTATATGTCTTTCTGGGAGGAAAAAATTTAATCCTTGTTTGGAAGTTATGCACCCCGAACTCAAGATCTTGCCCAAGAGAAACATATACAAACATTTATTCCAGAAGAATGTTAGAAATATATTTTCTTTTTTATTCTATTGAAACAGTATAAAACATAGAGACTTACAAGTAACTATGAATGTTCTAAAGAATTTAGGAGTTCATAAGTTAGTCTGTTGACGCAGAGCTCGAACAAGTTTACTCTAAAACAGAACATCGTAAGAGTAGTTTTAGATTCTGTCTACTGAACGAGTCGTAGCAGAATTTTATTTTCTAGTTTAGTCGTGTATACGTACTATTATCACATAAATATGCTGAATGCTCTCCTTCTTCCTTCTTCTTGCTTAATGAAGCTAAATTAAGATACATTGTATATTTGTATGAACCCAAAATTCAAAAAAATTATTGCACCTCAGTTCCCTCGCCATATAATTCATCTAGTCGTACCAATTGTACACAGAACTTATAATATAAGGGCGCAATACTTTAAATCAATTTATGATTCAATTAGGTAAACTGAAAATCAGATAAATTCGATAAAAGGATGAGAAAAGTGCAAGTCTCAACCAATCAATATCGGATCGAAAATAAATAGCCACATGAACTAATGCATACCAGCCTATGAGGTAACCGAAGCCGGTGAAGAACGTGATAATCCCGCATCTCCTGCGGTAAACAAGCATCGAAATGTACCCCATCAGCATCGGAACCAAAAAATGGAGATTCGATGAGAACCCAAACGAGAGGTAAGATAATAGAGCTCCTGATGCCGCGGAATAGATATGCTTCAGTAGGGTTCCAGGGACAAGTCTCCAGATAAAACTCACGGGTATGGTGGCGGCAAAGCACAGAAGGAATCTAAGAACTGGAACTGAGACTCCAATCGACGACGCCATGGATTCCATCTCGATCTCCATGGCCCCGTATTACTAATTCGCTGAACCGTCTGAGCAAAGTGTAGCTGCCCAGAATTGAGAAGCTCTCCCAGACTCCCAGTCTCCTCTTTTGGGATCTTTGCTTTTGTGTTTCTTATGTGCCTAAAATGACCATAATATCCTTCCTTTTGTACGGCCAGTCAGCTTGAACGTTGACCTTACTTCATTGTTTTCTCCGAAATGCCGGAAGGCTGATAATGAACACAATGCATCAGCTTCCAAAGAAGGTGGGTGCTACAACCAAGTGTGCGCTGAAAAACAAGACAATGCATGTTTAATGAGTGGATACTCTACGGAGGTGTAAGGGTAAGAAACAAATCCAAACATTTCCAAAATAGTTAAGGCTTCGCCGAAGAGTGCAAGCTGAGCTACTGTCAGAATAGCGCGTGCAAAAAGAAATAATCCATTATCATCTTTAATAATAATACCAATGCCAGATTTATCAATGGCACCACCTAAATTGATTTTGACACTACGTGGTGGAAGCCAATGGATTGTTGTAATTGGGGCCAAATAAACATTCTCGTTAGGTATCACTAAAGAGTGATGAATAACATCATAATGCAACTGTCAATCCACTCGAGCCTCTTCTATAATGAATTGTGGGTATTGGTGTTGATGATTAAATATGAGGGCATTCCGAGCAAGCCAAATGTGTCAAAGGATATTGAAGTAATGACCACAAATCAAATCATAAGATTAACCGTTACTCAAATCAAAAGAAATCCATTTTGATAAGCTTCTCCTTGGGTATGAGTCAGGCCTAAAGCTCATAGAGGAACCAAACCAAACCAATCTAGAAAATTGGCAATGCAGAAATAAGTGATCCATTATCTCTAAAGCCAATTCACAAAAAGAACATATGTCGTTACATAAAAGAAGAATTTTGTGGAGTTTACTTCTAGTGGGCAGAGAATTTGAAACAACCTCCAAGTGAAGATGAATAATTTAGGACTATCATTCTTGAGGCTCCAGAATTGACGCCAAATAATATTAGAAGTCAGAAATTGCTGTCTTAAAGAAGTGGAATGCATAAAGGTTAGAAGTTTGTAACCTCATGTTGTCTCCACACTTGATTGATTGCATCCCAACAACCAAGTACGGACTTTCTGTAAGCTAAAACCCTGGGTACACGCCATTCAGCCATATATAAGGAATATATTTTTGTAAGTATACTCTAAAGATGTTCTTAATGTACGGCTGAATGACATTTTTTTTGGCAAGAGATCCACTTTTATTCACGACACTGCTGAGTTAGAATATGTTCATTGATTAAGCCCAACAAACATCAAACAATGCTTTAATCACAGGACCAGCCACGACGAATTCACATCAGCGCCCCATGGGGAGATTTGTCGGTATGTGCTGTGGAGCATTGTGAGGCGCTGATGTTAACTCAGCCTCGTCTCCAATTGGACAGTGGCTTTGATTTTTCGAAGACCTTATGTCTCAGTCAAGTTTGCTTTTTTGGCTCCCTTTGCTTTCTGGTAAGATTTGGATGGGATAGGATGGGATGAGATGGGAAAGTATAAAAATTTACCTTTTCATTGTTTCATTTATATATGGAAAAATAATAAGAAAACATTATTATGAGGAAGAAGAGAGAAGAGGAAGACGGAGGGAGAGAGACTGAAACTCCGAAGAGGTCCTCCGGCACTAATAGTCCCCCCTCCTTTGTCGGTGCTTAATCGACCACTGCATAGTGGTCCCCCCTTTTTCACACAGGTTCCTAACTTCTCCAATACTATATATAGTTGAACTATTCTTAGCAATCTCTCGTCCTGCGCAATGATCCAGGAGTTGGACCAAGACCAAACGATTCCATAATCCATATACATGTAGGAGACGGTAGGTTGATTGTGTAACGGTCAAGAAAATACTTGGTTTACGCCGTCAGTGTTGATTATTCTAGCGCACCTTGTCGCACCTCACTGAACAACGGCCAAAGTGAACCACTAGGGGACTACTGTCTCCTACTATTCTTATGGTTATGAACCACGATAGTCCCCTTCCTTCGTCTCCTACATGTATAAGAAGAAGATGAGGGAGATGAGAGATCGTTGAGAACGGTGAGGGAGACAAGAGATCACTAAGAAAGGGAGAAAGGGAGGAAGACAGATTCACACGGTTTCTTTCCTTTCTCTATTTGCCATCACTGGTTCGTTTTTCTTGGCCTATCCCTCCTCTACTCGTCATTAATGGTAAGTGGTAACAGTGGTTTTTCGAGTTTCTTCCATCGAGGTCACACTATTTTGATGCAACCCTGATTCCATGATTTTGGGATTTGGCATCCCACATTTTTCTCATCCCACCCCTCTATTTTCCCTCAAAACAAATAAGAGAAAAGAGAATATTTTTTGAATATTCCCTTTTTCTCATCCTTATCCCATAAACCAAACGAAGCCTTCATATTGTTTGATGTTTGATGTTTAATGTTTGGGGCAAGGAATTCACTCTCCCATCTTTAGTCCCATCTCGGTTGGGTATCATTATCAATCCTCATCCCTGTTGAGACAATATCCATTCTTAACCCTAAGTTGAGTACCCAATAGGATAGGGAACATTGTCATCCTTAGTAGTTTATAAATTAAAAATTAAAATATGTTTAAAATTTATTTAAAAATAATTTATATTAATATGATAATTAAATAATGGTGAAAAGTAAAAAATTATTAAAATAAAAAACACTTGCATTCCATATAAAAACTATAAATTTTAATTAAAATATTATAACTAATAATGACCCAATTATAAATGTCTTAAAACTCTACTTAGGGATGAATGTTTATAACTTAGCCTAAACCTGGTTAAACATACAAATTTCCAGGCTTAAGCAACTATTTTATTCTAAGCTAGGTCTAACTCAAATCTACACCAACCCCACACAATGTAGACAATAGGACTATAAAGGTATGGATTTAGATCAGATCCAATTGTATTCGCATTCGATTATTAAATATAGATTTGCATTCGCATTTGATTATTATGTCGGGTTTTGGATCATCTTCACATTTAATTTGCAACCATATCATTGTGTTTAAAATGACAACAAATTAAAAAAGTTTTAAAAATAATAATTTTTAAAGCATATATGTATTTATAAATATATAAAAAATAAAATAGTAAATTTAGCAATTATAAACTTTATATAGTTATACATAATATATATATATATATATATATATGTATGTATACATAATTATACTACATATATACATAAAATAATGTTTTTTATTTTACTCAATTTGTAGTTGGATTGGATGGGGTTAGATTTGCATCTAATTTGATTATTAATCATGTAAGTTATAGCATCCAAATCCAGGATAATCAGATTTGTAGTCAAATCGGCTATTAGATTTTTTTGAGTCCATTTACAGCCCTAGTGGGTAGGGCCCAAACTAACCTTTAAGCTCAACTTGGAAGCTATAAACATATATATTTAGATAACAAATTTTATATATGGATATAAGTTTTTATATATTTTTTACAATAAATTAAAATTTTATTCATAGTTTTATAATTAAATCAACACAGGCTAGCTCATCCTCATCCCAAGCCCAAACAAATATTATTAAGTTTGGGGATATGATACAACTTGAGCTAGGCAATTTATAAAATTGTCAATGCACTATCAAAACTTGGCCCAAGATCTTTTATGTTTTTGGTTCATTATGCTACACAATGGGGGTAACCAATCCCCCATAGCTCATATGGGTTGAATATTGATATTTTTTATCTAAAAATAGTTAAATAAACCAAAAAACAATGCATGCATAAATTGTACTTAGTTTGGTTCTATCCAATTACGACTGTCACATTGCTTTTAAGGGTGCAATTTAGGGGGGTTGGGTCAAGTAGATGATCAACCAAAGCCCAATTCAAAGCCTTAAACCTTGAGCTTGGGCTTAGATTAATTAAATTATGACTACAACCTAAACTTGTATATTTACTAATATTCAAGTATTTTAAATATATAAGTAACATTAACAATAAATTATAACATTTAATCATTCATAAAGTAAAATAAATAAAATATAATACTAATGGATAATGTATACGAAATAATTATTTTATCAAGTAATTAGTAGTAATTTATTGGTTTTCTAAAAAATCATTAATATCACTATTCCAAATTACTAAATTATTATTATTTTTTGCAATAAATTAATAACATAAATATTAATTATTTTAAACATTTGATTGGTTGGATTCAAATCGGGATATATCTAGATCCGGTCCAATCTGATATGAATACTAGTCTAATTCAATGGTTGGACCATCCAATCTGTTCAAATTGGTTATAGTTTTAGATTGATTCCAACCTAGACCTGGTGATTGACACGTATTTTGAAATGGACCAGATATTGGTTCAATTTGGCCCAATTCAATATAGATATATTATGGATGGACCAGTTCCAATCCAATCCAATAAATACTTTGGACCATTAAGTTTGAACTAGTCCAATTCAATATGCCTTACTGGTTTGTCTAATCCGTTCAAATTGATTTATATTTTGACGAGATCCAACCCAAAAGAATAGTGGGGAATGCAAGTAGGCAGATATTACTCATACAAGTATAAACATGTTCCAAGCTACAACTTTAATTTTTTCCACGAAAAATAGTGGAGAATGCAGTTATGGCTTATTGGATGCATAAACCTCAAAAAATACCCAAAAGAATGACAAAAAATCTAAATCATACATCGGAGCACAAAATTATAGTCCTTGAAAGTTTATATACACATTTAGCATGCAACCCATGACCCAGTCAACAATTTGTATAGTTCAACTGGTTGGGGCCAACGACATGTTGAAAACACTACTTAGTGATTCATATCGGTGCATTGATAATGGGTCTCGAATATTAATAAAAAAAAAAGAAAAAACGAGAGGAAGATTGGTGCCAAGCCAACTGAACATCAAGGCCATATTTCCTAAACCGAGGAACTACCAGTTGAAGTATGTTAGAAATGGAGCCTTTTACACCTTTGCATGTTCGAATGACAATTAAGCTCATTACACTCTAGGTTCAAATCCGTAAATATCTAGATTAGCCATATTTTTAAATTTAGTGATTTCAATTGTCATGTTTGAGCTCCCCACACACTGAACCAATGGCTTATTGCACTCGCAGCGGAAAACCAAGAATTGCAACATAAACAACCCATTCCCACCCTTTCCACATCACAACAATAAGGCACAACCAATCATACAATTACAACCTATACACCTAGCCTTCTGGTTACATATACTACACCATC